CTATCCAGCCACTCCCCAGACCAACCCACCACCATCTGGCACTCTGCTGCCCTCAAATCAGGCACAGTGACAGGTGGTACTGTGGCAGGGTGACAGGGATGTCACTTTTTGTTTTTTTACTCCTATTTTATTTATTTTTAAAATATGTTTTATTGACTTCAGAGAGGAAGAGAGAGGGAGAGAAAGATAGACACATCAATAATGAGAGAGAATCATTGATCGGCTGCCTCCTGCACACCCCCTACTAGGGATCGAGCCCGCAACCCTGGCACATGCCCTTGACCAGAATGGAACCCTTCAGTCCACAGGCCAATGCTCTACCCACTGAGCCAAACCAGCCAGGGTGCGATGTCACATTTCTTACCCTTAAGAAACCCAAAAACTAAAGAGGTGGGCGGAGAAGATTATTCACTTAGAAGGTGATTATAATTCAATGCTGGTAGCAGTGGCACTGGGTATAAGAGAACCCGGAGTTGGAATTCCAACCATCTATGAGGTGGTTGATCAGAGATGGCTTCCAGAGGAGGTGACATCAGGGTTGGCTATACAGTATGGATGGGAGTTAGAGATGGTAGGAAGGGTATCCCGAAGAGGCCATCATAAGAAGCCACCCAAAAAATCAGGTGAAAATTGCAAAAGTATGTAGAACCAAGGAGTTGGAACATAGAGTATGATGCACCAAGTAAAAGGAAATGAGGGTAGAGAGATGGGTGGGGAAGTGGGAGGGAGTCCGGTCGCAGAGGTCATGCCATATGAAGAGCTCAACCTGACTCAAGATAATGAGGAGCCACTGTAAACTTTAAACAAGGGAACAACGGGTGTTCTACTAGCCCAGTGGTTCTCAGCCTTCCTAATGCTGCGACCCTTTAATACAATTCCTCATGTTGTGATGACCCCCAATTTCATTGTTACAAATTGAACATAATTAAAGCATAGTGATTAATCACAAAAACAATATGCAATTATATATGTGTTTTCTGATGGTCTTAGGCGACCCCTGTGAAAGGGTCGCGACCCACAGGTTGAGAACCACTGTACTAGCTGGTCTGAGAGCTCACCATTGTTGGACTCTGGGAAGCAAAGGTTCCTGGTGCCTTTGTCCCACAAGATTCCTAGGACTTTGATAGAAAATCCTTCAAAATAAGACAAAAGTTGAGTTTTTAAAATCAGCTCCCTAAGGGTTTGCTTATGATCTATATAAATAAAACCACATCTTGTGGTATTTTGTTCTCACAGACAACAGTGTTTAAAATAAGGGAAAAAAAAAATACTAGTAAGATAAGGACCATTTTCTTTTTCTGTGTATTTCTGTGGTGAACTTTTAAAAAGTATGTTACTATTTTCCACACATATTTAATTAGTTTTATTATCTATAAACTTAATAAAACTTCTCTGGAAGAAAGCTATATTAGTCACTAATGGAGTGCAAAATTTAAAAATTTTGAACTTTGTGAACATATTTTCTGGTGTTTGTTTTTTTAAAGCTAACTTTTAAAATTGTTTTAAAAATAGGGGCAGATAGCCCTGGCCAGATAGCTCAGATGGTTAAAGCATTGCCCTGATATAACAAGGTTTCAGGTTCAATCCCCGGCCAGGGCACATACAAGAGTCAACCAATGAATGCATAAGTAAGTGGGACAACAAATTGATGTTTCTCTCTCTCTCTCTCTCTCTAATCAATCAATAATTTTAAAAAAATATATATATAGGGACAGATATTAGGGGGACAGTATTTTTTTGAGGGGTTAAAGTGGAGAAAAATTAGTCCAATATACTAAAATCAGACTGAATTTAGCCCATTGTACTAAACAGGCACTAAATTTCATGCTCAACCATGCAAATCCTGAAACTAAAATTCCATGAGTCACATCTGTCTGCTTACAGAGGCATCCTCAATACACAGAATAATGCTTGGCACCACGAAAGGCTAAATAAGCACTTGTTGACTGCTGACAATGTAAATGTCAAAATATTCTATTCTTGTTTGAAGACTTCTTTCCTATACCGTGTGAAGATAAATCCTCAATGCTTTTCACAGCCTGTTCCAGATGGGACTCAGGAAGCTGGCACAGAAGCCAGGGTAGGGTGTGGTGACCAATTCCAGCAAGGACAGCCCTCCCGTGACTCAAGCTAGCACAGTGGCCCATTAAGCCTCAGCATACTGTCTTTCAGCACACACACACACACACACACACACATACACACACACCCTGCTAACCTTATTTCCAGCTTAAGTGGTGAGGTGGAGCTTCCTTCCGCTGCCCTCCTCATTTCTCCCCACCCTTCTCCTCCTCTCTCCTCTGTGATTCCGCAGGGACTTCGCTTTAGATATATAGGAAAGACTAAGCAACCATTCCTTCTTCTCGCGCTGCAAGAGGAGCAGTTTAAACCTCTGGCCACACAAACCCAGGACCAGATCCCCACTGTGCCTTATACAAGCTGTGTGAAGGTGAGCACGGTGATGCTCAGGCTCTCTACGTCTCTTTTTCTTCATCCGTATATGAGCAGAACAATGATTATTTCTTATAATTAAAAGAAACGATGCAGAGCATCACATATCGGGCACAAACTGTATCAATGAAAACAGTATTAGATGCCACATATAATATTTTCATGTGTTAGAACTAATAAACAATAAGGATGAACACTCACTGCACTGTGGTAAATGTTGGTTCACTCTTCCCCTCCTCCCCACTCCCCAGTCTTCCTGATTTGACAACTTAGTATCTCCGAAAATAAACTGCTCAGAGGATAGCATATGTCTGTGTGTTGGGGTCCAGCCCCATTTGCTGGAAGCCGATCCACCTTTGCTGCTTGACGCAGGCGCTGCAGGGAAGAAACATCTTCACAGCTTATGTTTCAAGGGACCTGGCGTATATGACATATGTTTGCTCCCCCTCTTAAGCGCTATGTGTTTTAACCAGGACCACCTCCCCGAGAAAGGTTGTTTCCCCAGGTTAGGGGTTAACAGGACTAAGGAAGAGAATAAATCAGTAAATCCCCCTAGTGTTACAGAAATACCATGTACTACTTATGAAGAACTTGGACTAAGACTGTTGGCAATAAATTTGGGACTTGTTGGGCCCACATCCCCAGGGGTCTGCCCACCAGGGAAAGCACCAAAGCCTATTCCTCTGGAGACCCACTGACACAGGGCAGTCCCAGGGAAGGCAAGCAGCGAGGCTGGGAGGACATAACCTTTACTGGGTAGGATAATCTCCTTGAGTCATTTCCTTGTAGCCTATCAGTAGAGCAGTAGAATAGTGACCTTGGAATAGCCCTTATAATGGAACATAGAGATTAACCTAGACAAGTTTAAAATCAACAGAACTAGATAGAGACAGGATTATGGAAATGAAAGTAGGAACTGTAGAAGGGTTCCCAAAACATACCATGAGGTAATTATATATGGGATCAAATAGTATAAATATAGATGTAATAGGGCAATAAAGAGAGAACCCAACCATGCTGATCAACTGAACGCTGCCCCCCCGCCCCCGTCATTCATTCATCGCCGATTCCATCCACACCTATGGGAACCCCTGGACCTGCTGGGGCTGAACCCCAACATCTGTGTCCCCAGGCATCTTGCTGGACCTTTTTCTGCTTCTTTCTTTGAGCAGATTTCTATGCCCAACCACTCTTGCTTAGCTTTTAGGAATGTTGAGTTACTGGGAAATGACTGCTGTGGGTGTACTTTCAGATGTGAGCATAGTTTCAGACAGCACTCAATGCCCCAACAATAACAATACCACATGCAAGATCAGGAAGTTATTCCAAGCATGACAAGTGTAGGGCCACCCTCACACAGGGCTGGCTGGCACCACAGCCACGCTGGCACAACAGTGGAAACTACTGTGTTGGGACATCACTGGGAAAAGGAATGCAGGTCACACAGGTAATCCCAGAAAACATATGGGAAACAGAATTGTGAAAAGAAACCCAGTCCTTAATCAAAGAACGAGTTTGATGCTGGTGGCGTTTTTGTTTGTTTGTTTGTTTTTTTGCCTCCAGTTGCCTAGCATACATTGGACCCCTTTCCAAATGGTCAAACACAACAGAAAAGACTTCACAGCATATAAACACAAGAGGCTGCAAACTGGAATTTATAATAAAGATCTGTGATTTAAAAATTAGGAATTTACCTTTGATTAACTCCAGCTAGAATCTCTCTGTATGTTTCATCTCCTGGTTAACCATTCTTCTAGGCCAGTGGTCGGCAAACTGCGGCTCGTGAGCCACATGCGGCTCTTTGGCCCCTTGAGTGTGGCTCTTCCACAAAATACCACGTGTGGGCGCGCATGTACAGTGCGATTGAAACTTCGTGGCCCATGCACAGAAGTCGGTATTTTGTGGAAGAGCCACACTCAAGGGGCCAAAGAGCCGCATGTGGCTCGCAAGCTGCAGTTTGCCAACCACTGTTCTAGGCAAAATAATACCAGACTAGATTTATTAAACCAAATCAGTCGAGACCAGGGTATTTGTCCAGGTCTTAGACTAGAGATATTTAAGCTGGAGTGATAATTTGTGAACTATCCAAAGAGAATTCAAAGATTCTGAAAACAACCCCATGAACTTTGAGCAATGACTTTGAGCATCAATGTAATACTGTATAACATCCTATTTCAACTCCTAAGTTCTAGAATGCTTATGGAAAATACCAGTCTCATGATGCCAGAGCTGTGCTTATGGAGGACTACGAAAAGCATCCATTCAAAAGACTGAGCTGAACGTTGGCAACTGTGGGGATACATCATCAAAGGTGGTTTGCCAGAGCTCCTGTAGCTCAGCATACGTCTTAGATCACCATATTGCACGTGGTTGTAAGACAACAGAGCTAGCACTAAAATGTCACTAAAAACCAACTAGACAATAGCTTTCTAAGCATTTGATCTTTTTTTTTCCAAATAATTTCAAATGAGTCAGTTCTCTAGAGGAGTTGAATGGCAGCAAACGCCATTTATGAATAAGAACAAATGGTAATGGAAATCGGTACCTACTTGGAATCCTATTAAGCGTCACCCAGAAATGTTCATCGGGGCTATACGTATCCTTTGACCAGTGCAGTAGATCGATGGCCCTTTGGTCATGGAAGATGAAGTTGACAAACTCCCTGGTAAGGGCCACGTAGGCAGTGCCAAAGTAAATGGTCAGCTGATGTGGAGGTGAGGTTTTCAAAACATTCGTGTTCCTCACAAAAGAGCCGTCTTTGCCTCTGTGCTCTTGGTGGACGTACTTAGTCCGTCCAATTGCATGAGCCGGAGGCAGCACCCCTGGGGTAATGTTTTTCCCTTTGAAAGCTTTCAGATGCTGAATGATCTCCTTGTTGGTTTTCAGGGGGAAGTCTTGCCCACAGGTGTTGATGGCGTACTTCCACGGGACCTCGGAGGCCACCAGGTCTCTCAGGCAGTTCAGGTCCGCCTGGAGCCTGGACATTCCCGCGTAGACTACAGACTCGGTCTTTGAAGCAATAAAGGCATTTTGGAAGCAGCTCAGTAACTGCCACACAGATGCCTTAAACTCCTCTGTGGCCTTCGCATCCACATGGACACAGTAGATATTTTGGGGCATGTAGACAGCCCTGAAGAGCCTTTCAAAAGTACCAAAGTCTTTATGGATGACCATGACATATGCCAAAGGGAACGCCACTTCTTCCTCCGACAGGGGGCTTGTGATGTAGTGGCTCTGGATCAGGTAGTCCTCGCAGGGGACACTTCCCAAAGGCGATGGCAACGTCCTCTCCCAGAGAGCAGCGGACTTCTCTTCCAGGGCGTCCTCACAGGCACTGACTACGGCGTCCCTTTCGCTGGAACCATTCAGCCTCCTCTGGGGCAGGCTTAATCGGCTGTTGTAACGTATCACAAACAGAACCACACTCAGCGCAGTGAAAGCAAAAAGGCAGTACCTCCAAAAGTTCATTATTTTCACTTCCTTGGAGCAGGGAATCTCCCTCCAGGGGCTGAGAAATGGCCAGTCCCTGAAAACACAAGCGTGAAGAGGCTGAATGGGCTTCCTTTGCCAGTCTTGAATTTCGCTAGCTTCTCAGATGGGCTTCCTTTATTCCTCATTTACTCCCCGCGTCAGTGTCGCGCCGTCCTCCGGCGGTGGCGGGCGAGGGCATGCTTCTCCGGTCCCGGGCTCCTGGGCTCCTGGGCTCCGGGGCTCCGGGGCTCCCGTCCTGGGCGCTGGA